TTACTCTTTCATTTCACCCAGGGTTGGGTAGTAAACCCAGGGGTCCTCCAGGGTCAGCCCTGCTAGCTGCACAAGGGGCAGGGCCCTGGAGACAGCCCCAGGGAATAGAAGGGGGTTCTGAGGTGGTGGAGAGAGCAGCATTGGGAGCTCCCAGCCAGCCCCGTTTGCCTTGATGTGCCCCGTGCCAGGGCTTGCCTGGCCTGTGCGAGCTCTCATGGTCTGGACTCCCCACACACCGAGGACAGGTGCACACACACTGGCTTTGGTAGCTAGCACCAGTTTAGCGAGTTCCTCCGCATCTTAGTTTGCTGAGGTCAGAGAGAGATGCTGGCCTGTAGCCAGTGGCCTGGGGAGTGGGTGGCTGCCCACAGCCTGGTCTGAAAGCAGTTGAGGCAGGCCTCAGCTGCCTTTGCTGAAAGTGTGGCATGTGTAGGGGTCTGGCTGGACTAAGGATGTTTCTCTGGGAGTGCCAGCCCCTCTGGCAGTCTTTGGAGTTTCTTGGCTTATAGAAGCGTCACCCTGGTTTCTGCCTTTTATCTTCACAAGGTCTTCTTCCTCTGTGTGAGCCTGTGTCCAAATTTCTCCCTTTTATAAGGACACCAGTCATATTGGATTAAGACCCATCCTATTGCCCTGGCTGGGGTGGCTCAGTTGGCTGGGCGTCATCCCATGCACCAATGGGTTGAAGGTTTGATTCCCAGTTAGGGCACATGCCTGGGTTGCCTGCGTTGCCTGCTTGACCCCTAGTGGGTGACTTGCAGAAGACAGCTTATTGATGTTTCTCCCTCTCTAAAAAAAAAAAAAAATCAATTAAAATATTTTTTTAAAAATACACTTTGAATGTGGCCATTCCTCACTGAGTATTCTGCTGCCTCTCCGGGGTGTGGTGTTGCCTTTGGAGTTTCTTGGCTTATAGAAGCGTCACCCTGGTTTCTGCCTTTTATCTTCACAAGGTCTTCTTCCTCTGTGTGAGCCTGTGTCCAAATTTCTCCCTTTTATAAGGACACCAGTCATATTGGATTAAGACCCATCCTATTGCCCTGGCTGGGGTGGCTCAGTTGGCTGGGCGTCATCCCATGCACCAATGGGTTGAAGGTTTGATTCCCAGTTAGGGCACATGCCTGGGTTGCCTGCGTTGCCTGCTTGACCCCTAGTGGGTGACTTGCAGAAGACAGCTTATTGATGTTTCTCACTCTCTAAAAAAAAAAAAAATCAATTAAAATATTTTTTTAAAAATACACTTTGAATGTGGCCATTCCTCACTGAGTATTCTGCTGCCTCTCCGGGGTGCTGTGGTGTTGCCTATGTCTCGACTTTCTCTGGAGGATGGTTTCCCAGGGGCTGCCCTCCTGGAAGTTCCCAGGCTTCTCCGACTTGTCCAGAGGGAGCTCTGGTCAGCCTTTCTCAGGGTGCTTTGAGCCACACCTCAGCTGCAGGGCACACGCTGGTCTCTCAGCGAGGACTCTTCCTGGCCCTGATGCTGTCCCCAGCTTTGCCCTGCACCGCCCATCTCTGGGGAGTCATACAGAACTCTTCCTGGTCTCTTGTTTTGAGCTGTTGCCTTGACCTGTTTGGTTTGTGTGGGCAGGAAATCCTCCTAAGGGATTCCAGAGAATACTGCCTGCCCATAGTGAATTTTGGCTCCCCACTGACCAGCCACGTGGCACCGGGCAGATTACTGCCCCTGTTTCAGTTTCTTCATCTGTGAAATGGGGACAGTAAGAGCACCTGTTTTGGGCTGTGAAACATTCATACAAAATAAGTGCTTGGAAAATGCTGGCCACTGTAAATGCTCCACAATGTGATGTTATATAGTATATAGTCCGTGTCATGTCAGTATCACTGCTGTGTGGTGACTCTTCACCTTCAGACCCCAAGTATCCCCGTCACTGCTGTGAACACATGGCAGGTACCCATTAAGTTTTTGTAGGGTAAATGAGTTTGTGGGCACATTGAACAGACACAGGTGCTTGGTCACTGCCAGACTCATTGGAAACAAAAAGGCTCCCTTTGTCCATAATGCTCACAGTTCATTGGACTGGGTGGACAGAAAACAGACCTTGATTAGTCCTACTTAGGAGGGTGAATCGCACACTGTGATTGGGGACAATGGTCTGAGAAGGCTTGTCAAGGGATGAGTGCCATCCAGGGGAGAGCTGGATTGGGAAATAGAAGATGGAGGCGTGGCCTGGGATGACTGATTGCACTGGCTGTGGTGACGGTTTGGCCTTTGCTCAAGGCTCAGAGGGAGGCCATTGGCAGGTTTTGAAGAAGTGGGTTGGGAGTGAGCCAAGAGATGGTTTCAACTTTGTGGATTAAAGGGGGGCCATAGTGGAAGCAGCTGGACAACCAGCTGGAGGTGATGGGTGGTCCAGGGAGATGAGGAGCCAGGAAGAGGTTGGACCTACCACGAAGCCAGAAGGTAAAGCTGTGGCTGAGCATGAGGTCAGCCAGGGAAGGCAAAGAGGAGAGGACGGTCTGCTTCTGAGCCTTGGGGTGCTCCTGTATTTGGCAGAGCCATAGAATACCCTTTTCCAGTGTCCTTTTCTTTGTTAATCCTCACCCAAGGATATTTTTCTCATTAATTTTTAGAGAGGGAGGGGGGGAGAGAGAGGAAAAAAAACAACATTGATGTGAGAGAGACACACTGATTGGTTCTCTCCCTAGCATACCCTGACCAGGGCCAGCGCTCTATTCACTGCGCCACACCAGCCAGAGGGATCCACACATTGTGTCTGTTCATCTGTAGATTCTCCCTCTACCATTTTTTTTCTTTGTAGTTTGTTGAGGAAACTGGGTCATTTTTCCTGTAGGTTTGATACTGGCTTTTTGCTGCTTCAGTCCCTGTGGTGTTTATTTAGCACGACCACCCTGCTTTGTGTATTCTGTGTCACTATGAACTTGAGTCTGGTGAGATCTGCCTGGGAAGGTGGCATCAATCTCGTCTGGTGGTCTGTGTGTGTGATGTGGGCAACAAATGACAGCAGCACCTGAATTACTGACTCAAGGGGTTATGGAACCGTGATGGGTCAGTCCTTATCCACACAGGAGCTGGAACATAACTGTGCAGCTCACCTCTCATCTTCTGTGTGGTTACGCTATGGAGAGGCAGGACAGGTGCTTGAGTTTTCCTCCCCTTTATTTGCCAGTTTCAAACCCTGCTCCCAGTCATGCTGTCCTGAAGGCTGGGTATTGTTTTTTCCCCAGAACATGGATCTGGGTTTGTTCTTCCTGAGCCTAACCTTTGGACCTCTCCACCCCAGGATGCAACACCCTCCAGTGACAGCCGAGGCCCTTCTTTCCAGTCACCTGCTGTCACTCCTCTCCATCTTCCCCTTTCAGCTTGCCATGTGACTCTCAGGGCTCTCAGAGAGGATGCTGTCCCCACCTCCTAGACCCTTTTTGACTTCACCAACTCAGCCATTCTCCAAGCTTGTCACAGGGCCCAGGAGGTGTTCTTGGCCCCTCCCCTCCCCCCTAATGAGGGGTCAGGCCCTTCTCAATTTCATTCTTTTGGCAAATACGGGGTACCTCCCCTGGGCCAGCACCTGGGGGTGGGGGGTGGGGTGGGAGTGTAAGACAGGAATCCCCAGAGCTCCTGCCTCCACGAGCTTCCCAGTTTGGTGGGGAGACATGCCCTTTGTGACAAGTGCATTCCTAAGGGTGGGCATGGGGTAGTGCTGACAGAGGGGCACCTGCCATGTTTAGGGGCATAACAGTGGCTTACTACAGAGCATCTTTCTCCTCCTTGGCAAGACGTTGGGAGACAACTGATGAGCTTGGGCCAATGGCTCCGTGGTGTCAAGGCTGTCTACCTGAGACTCTCCTGGCTTTCTCTGCAGTCCTCCCGTGGTTGACACCACACCGCCAGGCATTGCCTCACAAGGTTGGCAGGAAGAAAAGAGGTGCTGAGACTTTCCCCCTGCACATTACAGTATTTTTGATTTGGGAAGGAATCTACCCACAAATCCACTCCCGGTCTCTGGATTTGCCTGTTCTGGACATTTCATATAAATGGAATCACACTGTGTGGCCTTGTGTGTCTGGATTCTCTCACTGAGTATCATGTTTTCATGGTTCATCCACATTGTAGCAAGTGTCAGAGCTTTACTCCTTTTTATGGCTGAGTAATATTCCATTGTCTGGATGGACCACTTTGTATTTATCCATTAATCCATCAGTGGACGAACACTGGGTTGTTTCCAGTTTGGGCTGTTGTGAATCATGCTGCTATGGACATAGATGTCAAGTTTTTGTGTGGATATAGGTTTTCATTTATCATAGGTATATACCTAGGAGAGATATATGGGTCATCTAATAGGTATTCTATTTTAACATTTTCCCAGATAGTTTTCCAAAGTGATGGCACCATTTTCCATCCTCACTAGCAATGCACAGGGATCCGGTTTTTCCTCACCAACATTTATTTTCTGGTTGTTGTTGTTTTTAACAATTGCCATCCCAGTGGTCTGATTTTGATTTGCAATTTCCTAATGATTAGTGACTTTGAACATCTTTTTAGGTGCTTATTGGCAATTTATATATCTTTGGAGAAATTTGCCTTCTGGGTAAGGGGTGGGGTAGTAGAATCATGGACCTCAGAGCCTGCGATCAGGTCTCAGCACTGTCACTTAACAGCTGTATGTCTCTGAGCCTTGGTTTCTCCATTTGTTGGCCAGTACTGAGAGGGCTCAAGGGGTAGTGTGTGCATAGGGGCTGTACAAGACATCAGCAAGAATATTTCCATTAACCCTCCAAAAGCATCATTCTTAATGATTTCTGCTTCTGTTGTGAAGACTGCTTTGCTGGGTCCTCTGCAAAGATGAGTTAGTTCATTTTGGGTAACTGGGTAGATGAGAAGTAGGCACACAGAGAGATGTGGAGGCCAAGCAAAGAAAAAAGATAGGCAGGCTGGCACTGGGGAGCAGGCGTTCACCTCTGTCCTGTAGCTGTGTCTCGTCCATCATCTGAAACATACTTCCTTGTTTTCTTTATTTAAGGAGGAGCCACGGAAGGTTTGTTTCACCTATGACCTGTTCCTGAACCTGGAGGGCAACCCGCCTGTAAACCACCTGCGCTGTGAGAAGCTTACCTTCAACAACCCCACCGTTGAGTTCCGGTACAAGCTCCTGATGGCTGGCGGGGTGAGTGTGCCGGAGCAGGTGGGCCCTGCCCCTGCTCGAACGGATGCATCTTCTCTGTCATGGATCCATCTCTGCTCCCTGAACTGGGAACTTGGTGCTGGGGGCACCTTGGGATCTCTCAGGCATGTCTCTTCAGCCTATGGCTGGGCACCTGATACTCAGAGGGGCAGGTTGCACAGGTAGCACCTGGCAGCACTGGATAGGACCCAGGTATCCCGAGTCTGTGCTGGGATGTTGTCAGCTGGGAATAACTAGTTGCTAGTTATCCCTGTAGCTTCCTGGTTGGCTGTGGTTAATTAGCATCTTCTTCCATAAAGTAGGGGGAGGGTGGGGGAAGGAATGGGTGTGAGACCAGCCTGTCAGTGTGTCGAGGCGCTGGAGCCAACTTTTAACCGGATTGGCAAGGCTGTGCTGGAGCCCCATCACCTGGGGAAATAGCAGTGGCTCTCTGCAGGGTCCTTGGTGATGCATGCCACCTGGCAGTTCTGTCCTTGTGAGGCCAGATGAAGGTGTCAGCTCTCAGAACCTAGGTCTCGAGTGAATCGTGTGGCCAGCGATCTTGGTATGATGGCAGAGTGCCAGGAGCATGTGTCAGCTCTTGGAGAATGGGGGTGGGGTGCTTGGTACTGATGGATGATTGGCTGTGGAGGAGGCAAGACGCTTGGCTGCAGGCTGGACTGTGTGTGCCGAGGGAGGTGGCAGGCTGAGGACACAGGATATCCCAAAGCCACCTGTTAGTGAACATTTGCCTTGCTGCCAGCGGTGCCTGCAGTGGAGGATTCAGGTCCAGGTCATGAGAGAATGTGTGTATGTGTGTGTGTGGCAGGCCCACCTCCCCAGTGAATACAAGGAGTTTGGGCTGAATTTCTTTGGGCCTAGGGAGAAGTCCTTTTCTCTTCATTTAATTTAGTTGTTGTCTTTTATTTAAAAAAATGAAAGGGGTTATTTATTTATTGCAGAAAATTTGAGTAACTTCTTCCACGTTCCTAACAAAAGATTAGTCTGGGATTTGGACCTAGCATGTGATTGCTAATGGAGTTTAGTAACAGAACAGGGGGCATTGGAATCTATTGACACAGACACTTGTCTGGAAGTTTGCCTGGGAGTTCTAAAAGAACCAAGGAAGTGGGGAGGAGTTTCCAGGTTCAGCATCCTCTTCAGCTCTGCCTCTCTACCTTATTTTCCAAAGTATTTCCCTGAGGTGTTACGCAAAGGTTCTAAAGTCACATCTCAGGGAGACAGACACTCAGACAGTCAGCATTCCATGGGCCTCTTAGAGCTCCAGGACCAAGGGACCGTCCCCCTGCATCAGGTTTTCTTTGCTCTGAAAAGATGAAGGCTTACTATGCATCATCTAACCCTATAAAACGGGAGGGGCAGGGGAGGAGGAAGAGGAGGCATGAGGCATTGAGGGAGAGAGGTTGGGATGGCAGGTCCGCCTTGCAGTTTGGGAAGGGCCAGCCCAGGAGAGAGGAAGGGAGAGGAGGCCCTTGGGTGCAGGTGTGGTGGTCTCTGGGGGTACTTTTCATCCTTGGTGAGGGCTGCCCAGAGAGCTGGTTGTCTGGTTAGGAACTTTCTTTCTTGCCCTTTGGGGCTTGCTCTGGGCTGATAGCAGAACAGTGTTCTCGGGTCTTAGGAGCAGCCTGGGAGCTTTATGGGACAGTTGCTCCCGAGACCTGAGTTGTGGCCCTTGTGTAGCCAGTCTGGACCTCTGAGAGTTCCCAGTGGGGCTGGCATTTACCATCTGGTGGCAAATGACCACAGACCCATCTGTGTTGACATTTGCTAGAAGAACTGGAGGACCATGCGATCTGTAAGTTGATGAAAACTGCTTTCTATATTGCCCCTCCGGGGGCACATGAGTTCTGTAATTCCTCACATGAGGTTCACATACTTCCTCAGTGGTGACCAGAGTGGCTTGACCACTTTTCTAGATGGTCAGAGGCCAGCCCTGCTTGTCCCCTCAGCATCGTATCTCATCCTTTGCCCCATCAGCTGCGAGGGCCTGTATTTCCATCGAGTGAGATGCGTCCTCATGAAGCCCTGTCCTGCAGGTGGAAGTAGATTTATTTATTCACTTAACTTTTTTTTTCTGAAAGATTGTTAAAGAAGGAGAGAAAGATGCAAGGCCTTCACTACATTGTCTTGACATAGCATCAGGATAGGATATTCCTGTGAAGGAGAGAAGAGAAATGAAAACAAAGGAAAAAAGCACCGTCTTCAAGGGAATGGACTCAGACCTCTGAGGGGACCTGTCTGTTCTCTGGGTTAGGCTGTCGCTTCTCTAACCTTGTGCATTGTCCTTGCTGGCCTTAGAGTGTGGTTATTTCCCAAGACCTGGTGATCCTCAGCCATGCTGGCCAGGGTCAGGCAGGTTCTGGGCGCTGTATTATAGTGAGACGGGCTCTGATGAGCAACTCGGCCTCGGGCCTCACTGCCTCAGAGTCAGGGGTGGGGGCTGGAGTGGCACGAAAGGCTCTGCTGCCCTCCTTTCAACCCGGTGTCCCCATGACCATGACTGGGCATTACATCAGCCTCCTCAGATGAAAGGTTGAGCTTGTCAAGAATCCTAGGTGCTCAAGGTTATTAAAGCTAAATTAATTTTCTTTCTTTCTTCCTTCCTTCCTTCCTTCCTTCCTCTCTCTCTCTCTCTCTTTCTTTCTCTCTTCCTCTCTTCCTTTCTCCCTCTCTCCCTCCCTCCCTCCCTCCTTCTCTCTCTCTCTCTCTCTCTCTCTCTCTCTTTCTTTCTTTTCTTTCTTTCTATGATCTTTATTCTTTTGTTCTGTTTTGTTGCCATCTGGAAGGCTCCCTCTGAGTGGTAGTGTGAACTTCCAGTGTCTATATTTTGAGAACTTGCCCTCGGGTTTTCTCTCCCTTCAGCAGGTGCCACAGGAGCCTCACTGGACCTGGGCAGGTGTTGCTAGGAGCACCTCTTGGCAGGAGCCCAGATCCTTCCTCCTCCTAGTAGTTAACAAAGGCAGAGCTCATGTCCCTCTCCTGCAGGCTCCAGCGAGGTGGCTTTGGCAGAGAACTGGGCCTGCCCCCGTGCAATTTCCTCTTGCCTTGGCTTCGCTGCTCGCTCCCTGTTTCAGTCAACTTTATTCACCTGAGAGTGGAGGAGTGAGGCTCCCCCAGGAGATGCGGGACCCGGTGAAGTCATGACACACACGTCCCACAGAAGTTGCTTTCTCCGCCACATGCCTTCCCAGAGGGGTGTCTGCCTGGCTTCTCACCTTTATGCTTCTGGTCTTTCTTAACTGCAGCATGCAGGCCGCTTTGGCCACAGCTGCCTCCTTGTGCTTCTCACACAAATTGCCAGTCTTGGTGCCAGTCTTTTAGCATGGTGCCCTCCTCCCCGAGACTGTGCCAACTGCACCTGGACCCAGCCATCCTGGGACCCTGCTTCTCTTTGCTCTCCACCACGAGCCCGCTTCGCTCTGAGCACTCAGCAGCCAGACCTTCACAGAGGAAATGCCGTGGACTCTTTGGGAAAATGACGCTCAGGCTCTCCCTGGCTCCCTCCCCGAGAAGGAAGCTTGGACACCTCTAGCTGCACTCCCGCAAGCCAACTTCCTCTTACCCATCGGATTTCCAGCTTGCCTCCTTGCTCATTGATAACATCTGTCTCTTCTTTATCACTAGGTGATGGTAATGCCCGAAGGAGCAGAAACGGTGTCCAGGCCCAGTCCTGACTACCCCATGTTACCCACAATTCCACTCTCTGCCTTCTCTGACCCCAAGAAGACCAAACCATCCCACGGCTCCAAGGTTAGTGAGGTGGAAGGCCCAGTCACATGGGAGCACTGGGGCCCTGCAGAGGGTCCTGGGCTCAGGGTGCTCCCTCTGCAGAGCTGGGCTCGGTCCCTTGGCATCTTTCTCTTGGAGCTCTCTGTGCTCCCTGTGGCTGCTCTCTGCCACTTAGTCAGAAGGGTCGGCCCCTCCTGGGGTGCATAGAACAGCCTGGTAATCACAGGCTCTTCACCCTGTTCCTCTTGAGGCCAGAGAGCCTGCCCTGTCCTCCCCCCTCCCTCAGAGTCAGTGGGCTTAGGACCACTCAGACAGAACCCCAAGCTAGTCTCACATGGTTGGGAGCCATGGACAGAGTGTCCACTGCAGCTACCACTGTCTACCTTCTCAGGTCTCCTGAGTGCAGCCAGGACACTTCGTCCATCAGGGCTGGTGCTTTCTCCGGGGCCTGTTCCAGGTTTGGCTTCTTTCTTTGGCAAACCCCCACAGAGAAAGCTTACTTGGGGGAAGAGCCAGGTAGAATCATGTGGGTGAGCGAGCTGATTTTCCCTAAGAAGAAACGCTTGATCATCCTCTCTCAGCCCCATCAGGTGAGTGGCACTCTGTCTTCCTGAGACCACTCTCTGAATCGTCCCAGAGTGGCTGCCAGAGCCCTTCTGGTGGTGTCATGATGTACACATAAACTCCTGAGTGTTCGTCCCGTTCCCCCGCAGCCGCCTACACAGCTCCGTGTCCCGGAGGCCAGGTATCATCTGGCTCTCAGGGCAGCTGCTTGTCTTTCTGCCACCGACCCCACAAGTTTATCCACTTCTCAACTTTGCATTTTTCTTGTTTCACTCATCTGTTGGCTGTTGTGGGCCTGGGGCATCCCACATGGGACAGCTTGAACTCTCAGGCCAAATTACAGCCTTATTCATCAGCAATGCTGGAGGAGAGCGACATTACCCAGACAGAGTCTTTCTGGCACTTTCCCCAGGCCAGTGAGTCTCTGAAATCCTCATCCGACTTAAGCCCTTAAGTATGGAGCGCAGTCTGAAGGTCGTCCCCATGCCAACCTTCTGGCCCATCTTTCCTGAGCCTCATGGACATCAAATGGAAGAGAACTTCTTGCTAGAGATCTTGGCAGTTTCTCTCTTAGCCACTCAGTTGTGTGGAAGTCCATGCAACCTAGGAAGGGTAGAAATTGTCATTTCTTCTGTATGTGTCATTTGTGAGTCAACCAAAACCTCATGAAGAGATGCCCTGCAGGTAGTGAGGACACTCTGGTGGCCAGTGGAGTTGCATCTGTTGGAGTTGCTCATGTCTTCTCTCACTGGAATGTCCTTGTGACCACCCCCAGGAGTTCCCAGGCCAGATGGGCATATCTGCTAGGCTCAGAGGCCTGTAGGCAGGGTCCCTGGTCTCCACCCCTCCGTGTCCCAGAAACTTTCTTCAGCCACATGGGTGGTGTATTTTAGGAGGCTCTTCTGTGGGTTTCTCAGGCAACACAAGGCAGATTCTTCTCTGCTGCAAGCCCCCTCTGCCTGTTGTCCTCCCTTCTGAGCCGTTAGCCTCACCTGCTCTTCTAGGAGGGTAGAACCTGTGTGCCAACCTCTTCCTCCAGATGAGGACCTCCCTTTGGGTACTGGCTGTACCACCCAGATTGGTTCTCTGCTGCCTAGACCCAAAGAGTCTGATTGCCAGGTCTCATGCTCCAGGCAGAGGAGACTGAGAGGGAAGGGCTTGGTCATGCAGGGCCTTGATTGTCAGGGTCCCCAACCTGGAGGCTGCTGGAGAGTCTGGCTTTTGGAGCCCTAGGCAGATTGGTCACTGGTGATCTGTCCCCACCTCATGTCTCCTCAGAGGGTAGCATGGAAGGCAGGAGTTGGAGCCTCCGGGCAGAGGGGTGGGGCTCCTGAAGGCTCCTTTTTAGGATGGTATTCCTTTTATTCCCCACCTCACAGCACCCCTGGATTTTCATACCTGTAGCTTCTCCCTGTCTGACATCAGACAGTTGGCCTGGATGACCTTTCTCTAAAACTTGGTTCTTAGACATTTTGCTTCATTGATGGCTTTGAGAACGTGACTGTGAACGATCACATTACTCTCGGAACTCCGTGTGGTTTCAGGGAGCCTGCTGTGCAGATCCCCAGGTAAAGAGCCGCTGCTAGGAAGGCCCTACTTGCTGGGCAGACCCTGGGCGGCAGTGGAGGCTTGTCCGACCCCAGGTCTGGGGGACCCTGTGGGAACTGTGCTGAGGCCTTTGACAGATGTTTATTGGGTGTGCTTTTGCCCTGCCTGTTCGGACTGGGGCCGACTCCTATAGCCTGGGGTGTGTATAGATATTTTGAGAAGAGGCTGGAATCACATATGAGGTCTGCTTCTTGCTTCCCTCCTCAGGGGAGTCGATTGTTGGAGAGAGGAGTCCCCAGGGACTGACCCCATTCCACACACCAGCCCCAAGGGAGATGCCCCTTTAGATGGTCAGCTGGGGCTTGTGTTATGAGTACCCCTTCCCACTGCCCTGGAGACAGAAGAGCCAGGTCCAGGGCACAGGGGCTGATGTTTCTCCAGGGAGGCAGCAGGAGCCTATGGCCACACAAGGCTGTCCCTGAACCTTTGACACTGATGTGGGTTATGGATTTGCAAGAAGACAGTGAACAAGTAGATCTGAGGTGGTCAAGGCTGTGCCGCCTGTCCTTGTAGCTCTTTATTGTGAGAGTCTGTCAGGTGGGCTGGGAGAGCAGGAAGTAGAGGCCCTGCTGCTGGGCATTTAGCTGGCTCACCCATCCTCTTAGCACATAGGGTGAGCTGGTAAAGTGTGGCTGCCTCGGGTGGTGCATGCCACCCTCAGGGTCTGGCTGCTGTTGATTTCCTGGTGAGCTTTGATCTGGAGAGCCGCTGAGCCCAACTGTGCACCTGCTGACTGAGTTGGGGGCAGAGCCCTTGGCAGCTGGGCACCTGTTCAGATGTGGGGTGTTGAAGGGGTTTGACAGGCAGGAAGCAAACAAGGTGTCAGGCAAGGCTTCTACCCAAAGGGTACGCTAGCTGTGTGTGGGGTGGCTGCAGCCCCCATGATTGAGTGCTTGCTGTCAGCCAGGCCCCTGCACCATCGCTGGCATGGTAGGAAGTGTGGGCGCACAGGGTTGGTGTCCCCTGGCCCAGCTTTCCCAGCAGCCTGGAGCAGGGCTGCTTTCTGCCTCTGTCCCTAGCCAGAGTTCCATGACCTGGCTGATCCACCCTGAACCCTCTGAGTTTCCCAGGAACTGTATACATTATAGAAAAGCTGTCCAGGTGGTTTCAATTCTGTCAGGAGTTGTTGGTCCTGCACAGCGCCCTGAACCCAGCAGCCACTCAATAAGTGCTGACTGTGGATCAAAGAACCATTATGCCTGGCAGGTCGCGCTGGTTTGGGGCGACCAGGCAGGAGGTTTAGTGGTAGGGATAGAAAGGGGCCTGTCTGCTAGCGCCCCCAGTGGGAGCTGCAAGGTGTCTGAGCTGGAGGGGGTCTGTGTATCTGTCTTTCTCTGCCTGACTCACTGTGCTGTTCTTGAATCCCTCAGGGAATGTCAGTTCAATTCAGAGGGGAGTCTTAGCCTGCAGTCGCCTGGGACCTGCTGACACTTCCTAGTAGTTTAAAGGGACAGCTCCATTTAAAATTCTCACCTGCTGCCTTACTTCTTTGCTTTTTGGAAGATTTTCTCTAGTTGAGTCTGAATCCAGGTGGATTATACTTTGTAAGGGTTAGGGGCAGTGGAGCAGGGCGGCCTGAGATGCCGTTTGACTGTGTCTTTCTCCCTTCCCACCCGACATTTCAGGACGCCAGCAGGGAGAGCGGCAAGGCCTGCAAGGCCCATAAGACAGCCAAGGAGCACCGGGAGCGGCCCCGCAAAGACTCGGAGAGCAAAGGCCCCTCCAAGGAGCCAGAGCGTGAGCAGGCCCGGAGTGCCAAGGACGCCTCACGGAAGCTGGTTGAGGGCCGGCCACCCAAGGAGGAGAAGGCCCCGCCACCCAAGGCTGCATTTAAGGAGCCTAAGATGGCCCTGAAGGAGACCAAACTGGAGAGCCTGTCCCCCAAGGGTGGTCCCCCACCACCACCACCATCTAAGTCTTCCAGCAAGCGGCCAGCTACCACTGACTCACCCAAGCCCAGTGCCAAAAAGCAGAAGAAGAGCAGCTCCAAGGGGTCCAGGAGCGCCCCTAGCACTTCGCCCCGCACCTCATCCTCCTTCTCGGACAAAAAGTCGGCCAAGGATAAGGGCAGCACCAAAGTGGAGAAGATCAAGGCTGAGAATGAGCCCCGGGAGATCAAAAAGCCCCCAGAGGTGGAGGAGTCCAACTCGGAGGACGAGGCCTCCTTCAAGACAGAGGTGGGGTGCCCCTTTCCCCATCAATCCCTTATCCTCTTTTCTGGCTCTTTGAATCCCCTGTCCTTATCAGCTTTTCTGGCTTTTTGCCATTGAAAGCCTTGTTAGCCCAAAGGTTAGATGAGGAGATTGGGATCTCAGCCCCAGAGCTCCCACTTGCTCCTTGTAGCTTTGGGCATACCTGAGCACCTCACTAAGCCTCAGTTTCCCCTTCTGTCAAGGATGATAAAGCCTGACTGTGAGGTCTCTGTGGAAATGGTGCTTAGGAAGGATGGTTCTGGTAGAACATGATGGTCTGGTACCTGGGTTCCGAGCTCTTTACCGTGGGAGCCCCTTGCATGGCCCAGGGTCTTGGTGGCCAGTTGGGGATCAGGGTGGGTGATTGTGTCTTACTGTTGTCCTTTCCCCAGCCACCACATGGTTGGTCTGGAAGCTTAATGCTGGCTCCATTCCCAGATGGCCAGTGGAGTCTGAGGGCCCACCACCCCTACCACCCATCCGCTGCTGCTCATGCAGCATAGACACAGGGATCTTGAATCAGCAAGACTTGTCTTCTAAGCATGGGCCAGTACCCCTCTCGCTGTGAGAGGCTCTGGGCTCCTGCAACAGTGTTTCCAGGTGGTTCTCTGAAGATGGCTGTGAGAGACCCCTTGAATCCCAGAGGAGCACATAACCAGACTGCTGACTGGGTGGCCAGACCTCACTGGGGCCTTGGGAGGTAATAGCATCTCTGAGACTGTGTTTGGCATCTGGTGGTCCGAGAACAGGTGCCTGGGTTATGGTCGAATGGATGAATGGGTGGATAAATGAGGAGTGACCCCCTTACCTGAGGCACCGCCCCCATGCCTGGTGACCTGTGCTGTTTCCAGATCTCCATTCACTCCCAGAGGCTGAAGTCTGCCTGCAGCATTGCTGCTGGGGCTCCACTGGGGCTTTGAAAGTGGCTCCGGAGATAAAGCTAGAGCTGTTTTGTGTCAGCAACACCATGTCATGAGCATGTGGCTTCCAGGGGTACTCCGTTGGAGGCAACAGCATTGGGGGTGACGATTTGGTCCATGGGTAACTGTACCCACTGGCTTAGGGTCATGGGGCCAATCATGCTGCACACCCAGCGCTCCTCACAGCCAGGAGACAATGAGCCTAAGGTGGCAGGACTTGGAACATCTCTTATTTAGAAGCCTCCTGGCCATTCAGGGCCATTTCAGTATCCTGCTCCGCTGCTGCAGGTTCTTTGGGTGCTCAACAGCACCCTGGTCTATCATCTGTCATCTGTCTGCTCAGCATCTGGAGCTCTGAGCAGGTGCCTTTCCCTCTTTCCCATCCTAGATGCTTCCAGGTGAGACCTTTTTGTACCCAAGGCTGGTGTATTTTCATTGGGTAAGAGATGGAGGCCGCCCCTGATGTCCCAGGTATCCATGCTGATGCGTGGCTGTGATCACTGGGGCGCTGTGTGGGAAGCCTTCTTCCCCCAGCACTGCTGCTGAGAGTGGGCTGAATGTCTGGTATCTATGGCCTGGGGGGGTCTCTCCTGGCTGGAGCAGTGCATCCCAGCCCTGAGAGACTTCTGAATGACAAGCCTTAGCCACTCAAGGTCCATGCAGGTATGAGACCTGGGCCACCAACAGGGTGCCCAGGGCTCTCTAAGGCTGTGGGACAGTGACTCAGTGACATTTCCCAACCCTAGGATCTTGGTGAGGCACAGATACCTATGGTGGAGGAGTGAGACAGCCTTCCATAGCCGGGTCTCCCAGCCTCTCCCGACCATCCCAGGCTACCCATCCTGGAGGCAGGTGGGGCACCACCACTGGAGAGCTCTGACATTGCAGGGAACCTGAGTTGCTGCCTCCTGCTTAGCCAAGAGGGGGTTGAGGGGCTCCTTGTCTGAGTCCCTGGGCCAAGCCCCCAGCTCCTCCAACTGCTTCTCTGTGGTCTCTTTGGCCCGCATGGTCCTTTTCAGTTAGGGGCCAGGAGTGCTGAGAGCCCGCTGGCCCCTCTGTCCCCTGCTGGACATGGCATGTGGCTGAGCAGCGGCACTCATCAGCAGCACTCATGACTCCTTGTGGGCTTTCAGATGCACACCTCTAGGCCCTTTGGGCTGAAATTATTTCTGCCCCTTGGATTTGTGTGGAAGGAAAAGGGGCAATGCATCTGAGGTCGGCGGACTTGCTTGCCACCCCCCACCCCACACAGGTGCTGGAGCCACCTCTCATGGCTCCTACTTCTCCAGCCTGCAGCCCTGAGCCTACACACTGGGTGGCCGCCACCTGGGTCCAACTCCTGCCTTGGCCCTGCTTTTTGTGTCAGCCTTACAGAACCTGCTGCTCATGCCCTCTGCCCAGGGGGTCTGTCCAAATTCTCTGCCCCAGATGGCAGAGGCACAATGGGCATTGGCCGTCATGTGGGGCCGCAAGGCAGCTTTTAAAGAAAATATATTTTTTTAATGATTTCAGAGATAGAAACATCAATGATGAGAGATTCATTGATTGGCTGCCTCCTGCATGCCCCACACTAGGGATCAAGCCCACAACCCAGGCATGTGCCCTGACCAGGAATCAAACCGTGACCTCCTCATTCATAGGTTGATGCTTACCCACTGAGCCACTCTGGCTGGGCTGCCAGGCAGCTTTTACAGATGGGGGAAACTGAGGCTTAAAGCCAGGGCGGCCTTGGCCAGTTGGTGACAAACCCAGGGTCAGAACCAGGACCCCTGAACCAGAATAAGAACTCAGGTCTGCATGCTAGAGGGCCACTTGTCCGCAGGCCCATTGCTGAGATTTGGGGGTGTCACACTGGTCTGTCACAGTGGGCAGTGGTTGATGGTAATCTCGGATTCTCCGATGTGAAGGCATGTGTGTGTGTGTCGGGGGGCGGGGGGGGGCTGTCAGCAGATGCCTGGAGCAGGTGGTTTAGGCCGAGGTAAACTCTAAAGAAGAGGCCCCTTAACTCTTCAGGTGACAGTGTTCTATCCCTAGGTGGCCTGATAACTCTCTGAGTCTATTGAGTGAGCAAAGACTTGTGCCTTCCTAGGTCCCCTCTGCATCCTGGGAGCTGCCCTCAGCCCTCAGCCCCCAGACCATCAGGAGGGACTTTCCTGATCCCTTGGGGGTCCGGGACTCCTTTCCTAGGGTCTCCTCTCACATGACACATGCTAGGACTAAGCAAATGCTGTTAGGTGCCTCTGCCTGTTTCCTGGTCCCTTCTCTTGAAACGGGGAGGTGCCCAGAGGTGGCTGGTCCCAGCGCTCAAGGTGTTCCATTCCTCCAGATGGTCCTCCCCAAAGCAAGAGGGTTAGACAAGCCCCAGCCCGAGGGCAGGCTTGCTGGGGGTGAGGCAGCCTCCCAGGTGTGTGGGGTGCTCTGGGCCAGGGTAGACTCTTGGAGCTGTGAACTTTGCCCTTCTGCCCTTCAGAGTCTCTGCCATAGACCCATGGCTTGCTCTGTTATGTGCACCTTCAGAACTGCCTGTTGGCAGAAACTAAGACCCCTGTTTTAGCTTAGCGCTCCATGCAGCAAGGCCAGAGGCCCCTTCCCTGAAGGGATCTGAAGTGACCAGTTCCTTTACACCCAAGGAGGTGCAGTCCCCAGTCATCTTACCCCATGTGTCCTAGGGCCTAGGGTGGAAGGTTGCAGGAAGAAGTGGGGGATATGACCTGGTTGAGTCCACCCTGTCCCCTACTGCTTGTCACGTGGCACATTCATCATTACCTCAGGGCACGTGGTGGGTGATGGCAGCACGTGGCAGGGAGACAAGCAGACAGCTTTTTGTCATCACTCAGCCTCGGGACTGGCTGTGGGGAAACAAGGGGCAGAATGAGAAGCTGGGTCTCTGCACTCACCGTTCCTGTTCCAGATCTTTCCTCTGTTCCCTGTGGCGCCACAGCGCCCATCGCCAGTTCTTGCCCTCATAGGAGGAAGGCAGGACCCACAAACAGATGTGCTCCCCACCCCCCCAACCCCCTTTCATGGACAGCTTAGTTCCCTGTCCTCCTGCTGAGGTGCATGGGAAAACCAGTGACTTGTTGAGAGCTTCTCCTGGAACTACTAGAAATTTAAAGATCCTCATTGAGAAAAGATGGGCCATTGCATTTGAAATGCAAACTGGTGGTGTCCTGGGGCTGGGAGCCTACAGACTCAGGAAGCCATGTTCTCAGGAGTGTGTGCAGGGGTCCTCCTGTGTGCCTTGAGCCTGGCACCTTTGTCACCTTTTGAGTGCGTATCTGGGGAAAGACTCAGCTGGGTGTCATTGCTGCCAGGGCACATTTCTTGTCCACTCCTTTCCCTTGGACTGAAAGGTTATTCTTGTCTTCTCTCCCCACTGTCCCACCCCACCCCCGTTTTGGGGTGAAGTCCGCCCAGTCGAGCCCATCCAACTCCAGCTCCAGCTCTGACTCCAGTTCAGATTCGGATTTTGAGCCATCTCAGAACCACAGTCAAGGTGGGTGATACAAAGGAAAGACAGGATGTTTCTGTGGCTTACTGCTGTGGGGCAGCCTCTGACTCCACCTGGCTGGTGGGGTTCTAGGTTTGTTATCCAATCACAGGGACTTACAAGCAGTTTCCCGTAACTTCTATGGGGGCTCACTCCATGCCTGAGCTTCAGCTGCTGCCACTGTCAGAAAAACCCATTGGTGCCTTACCCCCAGGGAGGGGGTGATGAGGAGGGCCTAGAGTGAGGGGGAAGGTGGAGATGATGGGGAGGCTTGGATGAGGGAAGTGAGGGATGGAGGGCAGGGCAAGGGCCTGAGCTGAACACCCTGGGCATTTCTTCAGTATACTACTGCTTACCCAGACTGGGCTCCCAGATATCCACATTTCGTAGGTTGTAGAACTTCAGGGAGTGTATAAAAAGAAAAGCAGAAACAGTTCACCTGACTGCCAGCTAGGTGTGGGATATATCACTCCTGGTGACCTTCCCCTGAGCCTCAGGACACACTGTATGATGAGGGCTTGGCGATGTGCTGATGAGGTGCTGGTGCTTGCGGGCCAGTGGAGAGCAGCCCCTTTCTGATTTGGGCCCTATCCATAGCCAGACACCCTCCTCGCCAGCTCTCCCAGAGGGAGGCAGGCATCAGTTCCTTTGCCAGCCCTTCCACCCTGTCCCATTAGAGGACGGCTCCTGGATGAGGGCAGGAATGCTCTGCTCCTGCAGTGGGTCTGGCTGGCACTCAGCAGTCTGCATTTCTGCCCTTTCCCTGCAGGACCCCTGGGAATGGAGAGGCTTTTGTGGGGGGGAGAGGGCATAAAGCCCACTTGGCTGTCCCAGATCAGGGAGGGCCTTCCTCAGGTGCCTGGCCACTCCCAGCCTGCGGGACACAGGTGTGAGACGGGGCATGGAATCCGCCAGCCCTGCCGACCCTGCTACTCACCCGCAAACCGGAAGCATTTCTTCTGGTGGATTGGGCCGACAGTCTCCTCCCCACACAGCCTGGAGTCCTTTTTCTTGGGTTGCAGAAAGCTGGAGGAGGAGAGTGTATTGGGAGAGAGGCGGGTATTTCTGACCTGGAATGTAGATGTGCAGTCTCTGAGGGGGCCTGGGGGATGGGGTGCAGGAAGTGCACACTCTCTCCAAGGGTTCTTATCTATGGGGAAGGGAGGGGGAATCTGCTGAAGTGGGATCATGTGACCAAGGTAATTGAGGGCTTTGTGTCCCTCTGTTGCCTTGGTAACAGGAATATAAACCAAAGATGCCTCTGTAGGGGACTGGAACCGGGTGCTCTGGAGAAAGGGGAGGACGGTGGGCTGGGAACAGCGGAGGGGGTTGCTGAGGCACTGGGCAGGCCTGAGTAGGGGCACAGGCTGGTGAGGCATCCTGTGGCCCCAGGCTCTGGCTGCCTTGCCCTCCCGGCAAGGCTGGCTGGTCCCCGCAAGGCTGGCTGGTCCCGGCTCCGGGCAGAGGCTCTGATCTCAGCACTGGGAGCAGAAGAGGGGTGCTCTTTGGCTTTGGCAATGGAAGGGCCTTGTGGTTCTGCCTCGGGCCAGGGTCCAGAGGCCTGCGAGCAGGGACAGGAAGGTAGGCGTATGGGGAAGCCAGAGGGTCCTTTAGGTAGAGGGTAGTCTTGGGAACAGTCCTTGGAGATGAGTGGCAGGCCCCACATGGCCAGAGGGACTTCTACGTGGGTTTGTGCGGGTGCATTTTGGGGATTGTGGTGTCAATAAGCTCATGTGGCCCTGGAAGTGGAGGGGACCCTGCAGGGACCCAGGCAGAGCCCTAAACCCCTTCTTCTTTATCTCTCCTCCCTTCCTTGCCACCCTCCCCAGGACCCCTGCGCTCCATGGTGGAGGACCTGCAATCTGAGGAGTCCGACGAGGATGACTCTTCATCAGGCGAGGAGGCTGCCGGCAAGACAAATGCAGGGAGGGATTCCAGGTGCCCGGGCCAGTGGGGGTAGGGGGGTAGGTGGGGGACCCTGGCAGCTCTACTGGGCTTGTGGGGCCGTGAGGAGGTGAGGCGAGGACAGAAGTATTCCTGGGGCGCATGCAGAGGAAGCATCAGAGCCTATTGGACAGTGCTCTTGCCTAGGGCTCACACAGTCTCTCCTGTTATCTAAAGTGGAGGGATCTTAGGTGGCTTCCTTCCTCCTGTCATAGAAAGGTGTGGGCTACCTGGCGGGAAGGGGTGGGATGTTGAGGGGGAGAAGTCCAGGCACCATTTGAAAAGTGGGGAAAGGCTGTGCCCAGTAGCCCTAGGGCCAGTCCTGCTCTGAAGCAGGAGTTGGGGTTGGAGTGGGGGGTGGGCTAGTTCCTCTGTTCTCGGGTCTTGAGATCTTTTCCCCCTTCCCTACGTGTGTGGCATAGGTGAGGACAGACTCTGAGAAATGTCCTGTGGACACTCCCAGACCCTTACAGCGCGCCCTTTAAGGATGGCTATGCATTCTCAGCCTCTTGCCCAGAGCAAATGCCAACCTTGATTCCAGGCCCAAGGAAGGGGCAGACTCAGGGGTCAGGAGCCCAGTCGGGCCCAGATTCAGCACCTCCTCCAGGACTCAGCAACTCATTAAGCCAGGCCAGTCACCCGGTCTACACCCACCAGCACAGGGACGCCTAACAGGTGATTGCAGGTAGTCTGTGTCAGCCTAGCTCAGGGGTCCTCAAACTTTTTAAACAGGGGGCCAGTTCACTGTCCCTCAGACCGTTGGCGGGCCGGACTATAGTTTAAAAAAAAACTATGAACAAATTCCTATGCACACTGCACATATCTTATTTTGAAGTAAAAACAAAACGGGAACAAATACAATATTTGTATTTGCATGTGGCCCGTGGGCCGTAGTTTGAGGACCCCTGGTCTAGCTGATTAAGCCCATCATCCTGAGAGTGTGGCTATGGAGGCTTTGTGGCGACTTAGCTGGGGAGGGGCCCAAGGAGACTGCCTGCCTCCCAGGACAGGATTAACGGCCACAGCTCCTGCCTCTTTGGTGCTGACAGCATTCGGTGTGGACTCCTGCTGGACACCAGGTGCAGTGGTGCAGGGACCAACTGTGTGGAAGCACGTTGAGTGTCCTTTTGCAGGGCAGACATGGAAGGCCTGGGTGGGGCTTCCCTGGACGCCGAGGGAGCCAGACATCTATTTTCAGGGAAGGGGCCACACAGACCTCACATTGGCGCTGCAGCTGGTTGGGAGGAGCTAGCCAAGTCCCATTCCATCCTGTTCTGCTCCCTGGGGAGGCCCACAGTCTGCATGGCCTCCAGCTGCCCCTGGTGGACCCTGGGAAGAGGGGGACACGAGGGGATGTCCAGGGCAGTGGGGCCAAGCCTGGATCTGGCTGATGTGGTAGTGTCACCTGGGCATCAAGGAGTCACCACCTGCCTTCCCCACTGGAGTGATTCAACTGGGAAGTGGGGGAGAGAGAGGTCTGGGTCTCAGGGGAGCAGGGGCCCCGAGGCCTGCTGCTTACAGTGGGAGAAGTGTACCCAAGTAAATGGACAGCCTTGACCTTGGGAGGAATAAGACAGGAGCCCCTGAAGCCCAGGCTCCGTGCTGCGTTCCTGGCATTGCTTTCACAGTGAGGTGTCTTAGGTAGAAGGTGGCAGGCAGGGCTTCCGGTGCTGCAGATATGGAGGAGCAGTTGTCGGGCTCCTCTGTGCTGGATCAAGCCCACAATGTCTGTGAGGGACTGGGATCCCAGTGGGAGCCTCTCCCCAGGGAGGCCCCCAGAGGAGCAGGCCATTCCCAGCTAGGGGGCGGGGCTGGAGAGGAATTTGCTCCCTCTACAGCCCCTCGCTGTGCTGTGAGAAATTCTGGAAAAAGCTGAAAGGACTGAACCAACTTGTGCTATCTAGACTGAGACCATGAGAGAGAATTATGACTCTAAAGAGAGGCTTTCCAGTTCTAGCCAGCCTGGGCGTTTGCACTTTTATTAACTGCACCCTTGCCTCCTAAGATAGTGGTGACCATTTGTCGCTGCGCGTCCACTCCTCCCCTGTGCACTCCTCCCGGGACCTCACTTTACAGGTGCGGAAATGGAGGCGGAGGTTGAGGACTCGCCCAGGGCCCTGCCTCCCAGGAGGTTTGAAGTTGAGCCACCTCCAGACACATTGTGTTCAGGGCTCCAAGGGCTCCACCCAGATGGGAACACCTCGATGTCACTGAGGAAGGCTGGCATCCAAAGTGCTCAGGCTGAGGTGGAAACTGCGTTCCCTTCGGTGCATGTGCAGGCTGCCCCCTGGCCGCAGGAGTAGCAGGAGGACACGCGAAGGAGCAGAGCCCAGCACCATGCCCATCCTTCCAGCTGCAGGGTGTCCCATCTGGTGCCAGCCCTGGGAGACGCATCATGGGGACGTGCCTCTTAGCCTGCACACCTGTGGCTCTGGGTTCTTTGCCCTTTGAAGGTGGCTTCGGCACATTCTTTTTTAAGTCTGTAGTGGCTGCCTAGAGCCAAGTGAGGTTTAGGGGCAGCACTCTTTGCCCACAGGGAGGGGTGTCCCATTGTCAGGTGAGTCTGAGTCAGGCACAGGTCTTGCAGCAGCAGGGTGGCGGAGGCCTGACAGAGCATCGTGTTCCTTGTTCAGGTTGAGCTTCAGTGATAGCGACAGTGACAACAGTGCTGACTCCTGCCTCCCCAGCCGAGAGCCCCCTGCCCCCAAGAAACCACCCCCTCCCAACAGCAAGGTGAGTCCAGAGGGCACTGGTGGGCAGGTTGCCATCACGTTCTAGAGGCAGGGCTGAGGGCCGGGCCATTATTGGTCCTGGGCCTGGGGTTGTCCACGGATCCCAGGCAGAGAGAGGCTTTGCTCACCCCCAGGTCCCAGAGGTGTGTCTGCTCCCCATGATGGGCTTCCCTTAGAGTTGGAGGCCAGAGGAAGGAGGGCAGGTGGGCCTGGGGAGGTGGGAGAGCCTTTGGGGGGCTGCGGAAGAGGCATGGGTAAGAGCTGAGAGCACAGACCCGGGTTTGTCCTACAGGCGTCAGGCCGGAGGAGCCCTGAATCCTGCAGCAAGTCTGAGAAGATCCTCAAGAGGGGCACCTATGACAAGGTGGAGGGCTCGGGTGGGGTGGGGGTAATCCCGGGGCTCCACAACTGGATGGGTCAGCCCAAGTGTGCTGAGGTGCTGGCCTCAGCAGCATCAGACCAACCTCTGTCCCGGGTCCCCAGCTGTGATGGGCTTCCTCAGGGCTGGGCAGTTGGAAGGGCTGAGGCCACCTGCTGAGTGCCTGTCTGCCACCCCCAGGCCTACACAGATGAACTGGTGGAGCTGCACCGGAGGCTGATGGCCCTGCGGGAGCGCAACGTGCTGCAGCAGGTACTAGGACGGAGCCCGCCCTGCCCTCGGTTCTGCTGAGGACACAGGTTATCACACATGAGTCCCTGGGACAGGGGATGCCTGTAAGGCCTGCAGGCTGCTAGAACCCCTGGCTGCATCCCCAAGGAGCCTCCTCCTTCTCCTCCTCCTCTTCCTCCTCTTCCTTGGGGGTCTGCTGGAGGGTGGGGGACACCCCAGCCCAACTTCCTATCTCCTGAAGCCACCTTGCCACCTCCTTCCAGATTGTGAACCTCATCGAGGAGACCGGCCACTTCAATGTCACCAACACCACCTTTGACTTTGACCTCTTCTCCCTGGATGAGACCACCGTGCGTAAGCTGCAGAGCTACCTGGAGGCCGTGGCCACATGACCCTGGGCCAGATGCCGGGCCCCTATCATCGGGGTCCCGGGAGGCCACATCCGGACCCCGCCTGCCTTTCTCTCTCTCGACTCACTCGCCCGCAGCACTGCCTTAGTGACCGCCCTGTCCTCGGCCCTCACGGCCAGCTGCACTTTCCTCGTTGGCTCCCGGCCTGCCCTCCCCACCAGCTCACCGGGAGCCCTGGGGCCGAGGGGGCCCGGCGGGCGCTGCTGCTGCTCCCTGATATTCAGGGGCCGTCACCTGGGTTCCCCTTGTGTTGAAGGCAGCGCTGGGCCTCATTCCTGTATAGGGGAAGAAATGTGCCCGGCGGTGGGAGCCCTGCTCCATGGTGGGATGTGGGGCCTGGTATCACTGGCCAGGCCTCTCCAAACGGTTCAGACACACCGCACCCCAGGACCTCAGAGGGTCCAGCTGCTCCAGGCCAGGCCTTGGCTCGTCCTCCATGTGAGCCGGATGCAGCCCCTCTCTTGGCTCTCACTGTGCTGGGACTCCATGCTGTATAGTTGTCTCTCTATTATGTATGTATGTATGCACTGTAGGTACCAGAGCGGTTTCCGGGTGTGCATTTCTGTGGCAGCAGTGCACGTGGGGGGTGGGGGTAAGGTGGGACTTTAGGTTAAGATGTCTCCACTGGTCTTGTCATTGGACTAGAGGCCAAGCCGGAGTGCCCACTGGCTTTCTCCAAGCGCAGGGAGGATCCCCCTCAGTGGTACCAGGGCGCCTCGTCCTCCTCCTGGGACTCAAAAGGCACAGTCCGGGCCTGTGAACACTACGATGGAGCAGTAGGTCCTCAGGCGCCTAGTCAGACTGACAGCCGTCTCCAGGAGCAGACCTCCCAGCTCCAGCCAGCTGCAGGCCACCACTTGTAACGGTGCCCCGGGCCTCGGCCTCTCCTTTCTTCCATAGGATCCTCTTCCTCCTCTGTGTTATCGAGTCTTCAAACTTTGAAAAAAATGAGCTTTTGCCAAATAAGACGTGATAGTTTGTGGAGTATTTTCAAGGAGCGTGAGGACTCAGAGCCAGCTCCTCTTGCCTGGGCCCCGCCGGTGGCAGGCCCTCCCGGGCACTCCTGTCTCTCTCCGTTTGGGCTTAGCCCTCCGACACCTGCCGTTCACACTCGTCCAGAGTCCCGAGACTCAATTCCTCGAAGGCCTGAGATTCTCCAAGGTCCAGGCCGGTTCCTCCTCCCTCTGGCCCACCTTCCAGGGTCAGAATGCCCTTGTGGAGTCAGCCCACCTTGGGTGGGGCTCCTGATAGCCTGTTTGCTCAGCCTCTGTTCTCCCAGACCTTGACTCAAGGCTCCTCCAGTTCCCCCAACTTTTGCCCTAAACAACATGTGGGGAAAGGACTCGGGGTCCAGAGACGGGCTCACCTCTCTCCAGCCCACTGTCAGCCCCTCTCCCCGGTTCCCGAGTTCTGATGTGGGTGACCCTTCCCTGTGACCCCTGATTCTCATGTCTGTGCTCCGATTCCGTCTGTCAGGCAGACCTTGAACACTCCCGGGTGATCCCCACCTCCAAGGCTTCCATGAATTCCAGCCTTCCTGGTGAGGTCCCCAGAACTCTCGGGGAAGCCCGAGAACTTTACAGGAAACCATCGTGACTCCTCGCCGTTCACTCAGATTCTCTCCTGACCCCACTGCCTTGAGGCATTGAGAAGAGGGCAGGCCTGCGTGGCAGGCCCCGTGCTGTCACCATCCCCTTCTCCTGCCAGGCCAGCAATACTCCAACGTGGGCGCCATTCTTCTCTGGAAACTCCAAGACATTGGACGGAGGAACTGGCTGACGTGGGCTGCTCGAAAGGCAGCAGCGCCCTGGCCCTCTGTGCAGAGGCTGCCAGGGGTCACAGGCAGGAGCCTCAGCTCAAGGGCACTAGTCCTTCTCTATGAGGATCTGCTGGAAAGGGCTGCAGGCTTCACACGGCTGCCAAGGCAGCCCTCTGCTTTGGAGCCTGGCTCTCTGGCTCACCCTCAGTGTCAGCAGCATCTGGCCCTTTCTGCTGTTTCCGGGGCCTTCGGAAGCACCGACCCATTTCTCAGTTACCTCCTCTGGCCAGAAGGCCTCCAGTGCTGTCCTCTGGAGCTGCTCTGGGCCCAGTGCTGGCCCGTGACCACCTGATGGACATGCCAGGCAGCCAGGGCTCTGACCATAGCATTCCCAGCTGCTCCCCTACTTACCCCCCAGCTGCCTGGCAGCTGGGCCCACAAGGGCTCTGGGGACGCTTCCATAGGAAGGGGCAGGCACTTTGTGATTGCCGCGTGTTTAGTGTTAAGCCCCCTGCCCCCAGTGCGAATCTGTGTTTTGCTGTCTCCTGAACAAAATGTAAACCAACACCTGAAAGCAAAAGGTATCGAATACCTTTCTTACCCGTAAGGGTTTTTACCAAGATTGTGTCTCACTAGGAACTAGGACACTTATCAGCCTGAGACCAACTCCTGGATAAAAGGAATAAGGAGAATTGTGTTTGTAATAAGTTACAGGATTGTTTCTGTCCTGGATTTTAAACTTTTTTTGTTAAATTGTGAAATTATGGAGGAATTTTATAGGAAAAAAAAGTGAAATAAAGTCAGATGGGAAAGCAGACCTATGAGTCTGTTTGGTTCCTCCTGTTTTGGAGTTGGTGGGTGGGGGAGACACCAAATACCTTGGTGCCCTTTGTCACCTCTTCCTGTTCTAGTGCCAGGAAGAGCTGAGAGGGTTGGGGACAAGCCTGGGAGGCAGCAGGAGGGAGCAGGCGAGTATGAGCAGGTTGGCCTCCTGGAGGACTAGAGATAGTGCCACCAGAAATCCAGGAGCGACAAGATGGCAGAGAACTTGGTCTTGGGTCTTGCTGTTGATGTTGTGTTCTTTCCTTGGATGCTGGCAGCAAGGTTTGGGTTTAAAAAAGCAAGCCTGACTCCAGAAGATGGATGGATGGATGGGAATATGGAAGGGTGGGTGGGTGGATGGGTGGATAGGTGGATGATAGAAAGCTAGACAGAGGGGAAATGTGGGCAAAGACACCCTTTGCTGGATGCTGGGCTGCCACCTGCTAGTGTGTGTATGGTGAGTTTTGCCCGGCTCAGTCCCGTTGGGGCATGCAGGAGGCAGCCATGGGCACTGGGTCTCATCGAAAACGATGTCAGACAGCTAGTGGATGGGCTCGAGCTGCTGGCAGAAGTGATGGCGTCACTAGTCATTTGTCCCGAGGCTCTCCTGTGTCTGCATCGAACTGGCATGTTGTTTAGGGATGAGGGGTCAGGTAGCTCCTGAACCACCCACCAGCAACCTCAAGCCCAGCTCCCTGGGCCGGGAGTTCACCCTCATCAATCATGTCACTCTCACCTTGCCTCTGGGGGCCCAGAGGAGAAAACGACAAAGGCTCATCTGTGAGAGACTCGCCACCTAGAGGCCAGGTGGCCAGACTCAGGTCCATCTGCCAGCCCCCGCAACAGGCCTGCCCCCACCTCCGGTAGCTGGCACTGAGTGGCCAGTTGCCTCTCTTCTCCCAGCCTCCATTTCCCCAGGACAACAGCCCCCATCACAGACAGCCCTGAGGTGCCTTCCGCATGAGCAGGGCACACGGGGACAGGGCGTCCTGGCCCACCAGCACGACGTGGTGAACACTGGGGTTACTTCTTCACCCGCTGCTCAGCGGGGTTCGGGTTGTGTCTGGAAATCTCTGTCACATTGGCTCTTGTGGAGGCGCGGGGCAGAGGATACTGTCCCAGGGCAGCGCCCTTTGCAGGGGCTCCCGAAGCCCCTCGCTGCCCAGAGATACCAGAAATGAGCCAAAGCAGACAAAGGCACCCCCTCCTCCAAGCTGGATGTCAGCCCTGCCTCTTCCTCGTGGTGAGCACAACCGGGACCACTGTCCACGCAGCCCTGCCAGGCAGGCCAGAGGCAGAGAAGCTCCGGCCCTGTCCTGTTCAGCCCTGGCATTGCCCAGACGGCGAGGAGTTTGTCAGTGTTCAGGAAGCCCGGGGCCCCGTCTACATCCAGCCCTGGAGATCAGCCTTCTCCTAGGTGGTCTCCTCAGGGAGGTGCCCCACGAAGATGTTCCAGCTCCAAGTGTGGGTGCCGGGGAGAGATCCCCACAGCTGGGGGCAGTGGGCATGGAGGGGCCCGGCCAGATGCAGAGCCCTCTTCTCCCGTCCACACAACTGCAGATCCTAGGCCTTCTTAGTCTATTGGCTCCTAGAGTCCCTCCGATCCAAAGAAGGGGGCAGACAGGAAAGGAAACAGGGCATGGACTCCCAGGGAGGGGGAGCCTGGATAACCCCAACTCATGGGCACATGGATGCACCACACCCAGCCCTGCCACCGGGAGACCACAGACGAGCACATGGGGACAAGGCAAGCCATGGCTACACTTGACACCTTTGGGGCAGAACTGGTGGTTGAAGGCGTCTGGGCAGAGTAGTGAGAACAGTTAATACAACACAGGTGAGAACGAGGGGTCTACCACTCTGCTTATCTCCATGGAAACGGGAGCTTCCTAGCAAGGTACCTGGACAGCAATCCGCACCTGGCTTCCGCCCCCCGAGGGTGGAGACTCCGGGTGGGGCCTCAGAGCTAGTCCCGCCAACACCCAGGACACACCCCCTGCATGGACTGAATTGTGTCTCCCCAAACTCCCATGTGAAGCCCTAACCCCCAGTGAGATGGCATTTGGAGGTGATTCGGTTTAGATGAAATCCTGAGGATGGGGTCCTTACAATGGGCTAGGTGCCCTTTAAGGAGACACAGAGAGTGGGACGACACAGGGAGGAGGCGTGGCTGCTCCCCATCAGGAAGAGGGCCTCATGGGGAACTGGACAGGCGGCCGGCACCTTGATCCCAGACCTCCAGCCCCCAGAACTGTGAGACACACTTCTGTGGCTTACGCCCCCCAGTCTGGTATTTTGTGTCCAGTCCACGCTAAGAACTACTTCTGAGGGCAGGGACCAGGCTCGTCTGGCTGCCCAGCCCCTAGCACAGTACGAGCTCCACATTCCCACTCAGATACGCCCTGAAGGAATGAACAAATGACCTAAGGGATGAATGGGACTCCGAGTGGCTTCTTATGTGGCTGGTTTCCCATTTGCTAACCCCACTGACCTGGAGCTGTGTGGTCTTGTGTGGATCGATCTGTTCTGGGAGCGGAGAGGGCCGTCTGGCTGCTTAGCCCCTAGGCCCCACGCCGGAGGGATGTCTGACCTGGGTTCTCGGCTGTAACCCCAGCACCCGGGACACTGCCAGCGGGCGGTGACCACTCAGCTCGCATCCCACGTAGAACGGGCTTCCTAGAAAGCATCGCTGGTCTCAGGATGGAGACTGAACGCCAGCACCCGCCAGGCACACTGGCCAGGTCACTGCTTCCTGCAGCCTGCCTGCCCCTTTCCCTCTGCCGGTCTGCATGGGGGTCGGGGTGGGGGTTAAGGAGACCCCAAGGTGAGAAAGTGCTTTGTGATTGGCTCCTTGTCCTGTCTCTGCTGAAAGGTGCAATCTCCCCAAAGCTAACATAGCTCTAAGGGTGGTGACAGACGCTCCTTGACCAAACGCTGCTCAGGCTCCTCTGAGCTGTCTTCACTGGGGCTTCACTGGGCTAGAAGAACTGCAGGCTGTCAGCACAAACTACTTTATCCCCAGCGCGTACACACACACACACACACACACACACACACGAGGCCTGAGCCAACATCAGCACAAGGCCACATTCCCAGGGTGATCCCACCCCTTAAGTTCCTGCCTGAGAAAGCTCAGTGCTGCCAGGAGAGTTTAGTATTAGTTCCAACCAAACAAAACCTGGGCTGGCCCGATGGGCCCCAGACCCCTCCTAGAGCAGCTGCTTTACAGTTTGCAGTGATAAGCACTTCCTCTGCCCTTTGAGATGCAAAGCTCAACCCCACCCCCACAAACCCCCCACCCCAGAACTGCCTCCTCAGGGGCCTGAGAGGGCGGCTGTGGGTGCTGAGCTGCCCTCCTCCCAGGTCACGACACCACGGTCACAAA